ACCGCTCCTCCCGGGGATGTGTGCTGGAGTTGCATGGAGAGCAATGGTGGGAGGCAGCCAACGGGAGGGCTGGATTCGTAGGAACACCCGTCGTCCTTAGGCCAGCTCTAAAAGCATCTCAGATGCCCATAAAAAAAGCATAGGCTCTAAAAAATCTTATGTGGTGCCATCACACTTATTTTATGTGGTGCCTCCTCGCACTGTGCCCCAGCACTGTGCCCCCCAGCAGCTCCCGGAGCTCCAGCTGCTCTCCTGCTGTGGCCACGCATCTCAACTTCTCCTCCACGTGTTTACTCACACTAAAATAAAAGATTTCTCTCTCCCCTGCAAATTCCTTTTCTCTGATTTTTTCCCTTAGAACCCACTGAGCGCTTTCACTGGATATCCTCTGCAATTCTGTGTTAATGCATCTCAGTAACAATGCTTCCAAAAGGTTTGCTTTAAATTCCTTAATTTCAACAGCAAGAAGAATGGTGGCACATCCAGGAATCTTCCTTCCACAGTTCCATGGAGTTGAACCCAACCCAGGATCCTGCTCCAGGAAAGCAGTGAGGAAATGGCGTCCAGGCCCTGGGCTGGAACCAAACATATGCTCAGCTCAAAGCCCAGCTCTGAGTGCCAGCAGCCACAAGAGCCCCAAATCCCATCCAACATCCTGCAGCTCATGCTTATCTCTGGTCAGAAGCCCGAAGCCCCAAGCGATGCCCCCAGCACTGGGATGCTCCATCGGGGCTACTGAGAACTGCTCTCCCCTTTTGCTCTCTGACAAGGGGCCCATCTTTCAAGCCAGATAATTTCTTCCTTCCTCTGTCCCACAGCTGTCCCCAGCCATTAGCTGCCAAGGAGCAAATGCCATCGACAGCTCAGCTTCCCCACCAGGACAGCAGCACAGCAAGAGCCAGACTGATCCCTTCCCAGACTGACAGCTGTCACAGCACACCCCTGCCAGGGGACTCCCAGGTTTGGGTGCTCAAGCACAGTTACACTGCTAAGAGCAAATGCAAACCAAACATTTCCTCTTCTCTCTAGAACACGGACAAGCAGGGTGCAGGTTCATTGAGGCACTGCTCCACTTCAGACTGCTGCTGGTGGCTCTGTGCGCTCCCTTCACTCAGGCAGTGACCAGGTATGACAAGTTCCTTCTGGACTTCATTTTCCTCACGGTTAATCAAGGACAAGAGCCCTCTGCAGCACGAGGATGGCCAGGCAGCGTTTGCATGAAAAAGCCCTGAGATTCTAGAATGAAAATCGCATGGAAGGCTGTAAAGACAGTTATCATTTGTATGTAAAACTGGATCCTTCTATCCCATTTAAATATCACAACAAAGGCAATGTCTGGGTTTTTTTTTGTGATGCTTTCTGCATTAAGGATCTGCTTCCATGCAGACATGAACAGAAACACTGATGAAGAACAGGTTGAGCTGCTATTACAGCCAGCTGAAAAACCCCCCCAGTCACTACCAGAATGTGTGCTATGCCAGAACACTTCTTGTCCATGGATAATGTAATTATTTGACAAGAATTACTTGCTTAGAACTCCTTTTCTTCAAATTCCAACACAGAAGTTTATTTGCTGATACTTAAATTTTAAGCCTGGGATGTGATAACATCATAATAATAAGAAACACCACATTAAGAACATGTTTAAGACCACTTTCATCTTTAGTTTTTCCTCTGCAGTTTATTATATAAATTATGCTTTTAAACATTTAGAGCACTTACATTTCAAAACAAAAAATGTTTAGTTCCACGCTGAGATACTAGTGCAAAAGTGGTTTATCTAAGTGCAAATAAATTACACGTCCCCACCGACAGCCAATGGATTAGGCTGTTTGTAATGCATCTCATAAGTCCATAACTCATGATTACATTATTTACACTAAGTCTGAGCATGTTGTAGTCAATAGAAATATCGGACTTTGGTTGGTGACAACCAAATACGCTGACAGTACAAATGAGAGAGAACAATTCTACTTGAAACAGACCTGTGAATTCACTGGGACAGAAGAACAACAATATTGTTTTTCTGAGTTGACTTTAGGTACAAATAAGCAGATGTCAAATGCTCTATTTGCTGCTGAATTCCAACTATTAAAACACAACAAAGCTCGCATACATGCACGTATTATATTCCAGTGAATGCCATAGGTCATCTTTGGCACATCATAGACAGTACCTGAACACTGAATACAGCATTAGATAATACACTTCATGAAATAGTCTTGGTCTGGACGAGAGTAAATGAGAACAGTCAAAGATCTTTTCCACCTTCAATGCTAGTAATTGTTGCTAAAAAAATGTATTAAACCAAGACTGAAATGCAGCAAAGCCCCTCAGTTACACAGTACATACTAAAACCAGTGTCTGATTAAATCCAAGCAAAATAAATCTTATTCAACTCACAGATGCCACTATATGGGGTCACCGCAGTGAAATATGGGCCGTTTTGTCTGCAGTTGTTGTTAATATCTTAGAAATCTGCACTCATCTGTCTTAAAGTTGTGGTGTAAAAGCAAATTTGAGACTCTCCACAAATGACATATTTATTAATGAGTTTTCTTTCTCACATTCTTTAAAGTGATGCTTAATTGAAATCTGCATAGTCAAGAGTGCAAAAGTAATTCACAAAAGTCAGACCCGGGTGTGAACGTTGCTTCTTTTGTAAGTAAGTAGGACTGGTCACAGTCACAGGAAAAAGCAACCTCCAGAAATAAAGGTACAGGAGATGTAGGGGTTGGGGGGATGAAAACCACCAGAAAAACTCTCACGAGTGTATTTTTCTATTAATAAAGTCTTCACACAAAGATACACAACATCCATTCACATTCATGTGCACAACAGAATGTAAACTACAGAGGAAATATTTCCTCTCCTGAAAGAACAGTGAGATTATTAGTGACTGTTGTTCAGCTGTTCCCACAATGGGAACCATTACAATACCCAGACAGAAAACAAAAGGTCCAAATTTCTTCATGCCCTTATTACAACCACATTTAAACTAGCATCTCACAGTATGAAACATGAAATCTGAGTATTTCCGTAACGCTAACAATTACCCTTCACACACACACTTTTAAAGCAGCATCGCCTCTGTTCTTTTTTAGCTCTTAAGACCATCATCCCTCTCCTTACAGCTCATGTTATTCACAGTAGGTTGAGTGGCAGCTGAAAAGGACCCCTCTCTCTTCCAACACCTGTGGAATGGCTCAGCCTATGGAAGGGGTCTGCAGGCACTCCCCACTCCAGAGAGGAGCACAAGAGCAGCACAACTCCACTTCCAGCTTCATTTCCATCAACACAGGCAGCACAGTCCCAAATCTCCCCCTTCAACATAGCTACGTGACTGCAAGAAGTAGTTTTGAGTATTTACACCGTTGCATTATAACCATTATGAGAAAAATTTGTGGGGTGGGGAAAGATTCGTGTTCCCCAAATGTAAGTGCTGGAAGGAGCAAAGACTCGCATGTTGTCTACACACCTGTAAGATGACATTTCTTATCTACAGTTTGACACAGAGGCACTGCTCTGCAGCAAAGCACTAGTTTAAATGCAGAATTAACTCATGCTACCTGACAGCCTCACTTCTGTTCTTCACCATGCACAAAGTATGCTTAAAATTTTGCAAGATTGTGCTGTAACTAGTGCCAGCTATCATCTATATTAGTTAGGTTATGGATTATTCATCTGATTCAGACGCACAACCTTGGACTGAGGGGAAACCACCATCATTATTTAATCACACAAGTCCTGATCTGGGCAAGGAATACACCTTATTTATTCACCATATGCCTATTTAGAGACTACAGGCTCGTATTTAAAGTCTGTAGGCTTTAAATCTGAGATTCAAACTAGTTTAAGAGAGAAAATTATTTATGAAACCAAGAGAGACAGAAATTTGTTTGCTGCTATGGATTTTGAACAGGGCCTAAAGCATTTTAGAGAAGATCTACAACAGTGAGTAAAAAGTAGTCCCAGTCCTGGGATTCTGTAAGAACATCTGTAGCAGTTCAAACTTTTCACCCTTGTGAAAAGTGAAAGCACAAAGGTGAAACACACTACACAGTGAAACCCAAACCCACCGCAGTGAAACAATGATCCCAGGGCTGAAGCCCTACCTTCATTAGCTACATCACAGAAGAAAGCATCCTGCTGCACACAGAAACGCAAATCACAGTTCCATGGCAATGTCAGCTAGTGTCAACAAGATGTCGATATATTTACGTGCGTCACCTCTCCTTCTTAGAAAATAACCTGCTCAGGGAGCTAATGCACTGGGAGATGGGGAAAAAACAGTCAAAAGTCTGGAAACACGCACTGAAGATAATGAAATTTTACCCCAGAAACAAGCCACTTGGGCACGCAACAACTGCCATTCTGACTAAGCTTCAGGGCAAAACTGCAGAAAACAATCCATCTTGTTCCAACTCAGAACACCAAAAATAAAATTGTCCAATTAGGTGTGGGCTGATAAATTTTCACAAGCAATAGCAGCAATTTTTTTTTTTTTTTCTTGTCAGAAGACAAATCTTCTGGCAGAATCCAAATCTACTTAAAGAACAGAATAATTTAGTGTAGTACTAATGTTAATTATATTTTTTGTGTCATTTCAGGGGTTTAAGTCAAGGTACCAGTAGAGTAAGACCACTTTTTACATTAGTTCAAGATCTACATTGGCACAACTGATTTCCGTGATTTGTACTTTTTAAAGGTGGTAGTTATAAGGGCATCAGTTTAGAGTTCTATTAATGTAAAATCCTAAAGGAAATGCAATTCAGTAGTCTGAAGGAAACACCTTACCCTTTAATATACAATGAAAGTACTTTGTGGCCTTCTGTGCTTCAGGAAAACATCCCCCATATTCAGATCGTCAGACAGCCTCACTAGTTAAGACACATTAAAATGAAACATTTTCCATTAAAGTTGCCAAAAACTGGATTTAAATTTATTGCATGACGTTGCATAAGAAAGTATATTATTGAAAACTGTAAGGCATCATGCAATTATCCATCAGCTAATTATTTATTATTCCTTGAAAGATGGTTATATACTCTAAAGTTATAAAACCAGTTTCAAAAAAGTACATAAAAAAATTTAACATGATAAGCATTAAATATTTTTCACGTTTGCAGTTTTTAGCTGTTAAAAAGTGCATTCAAACATACTGTACTGGAAAGTTGCTCTGTCCAAAAATGGTGCTGGAGACTTGTTAAATTAAAAGTTTCAAAAGAATGCTGTATGGAATTAGAAAGCTAACATGTTGTGGTGCTTCAACTTACAAACTTGCTTGAAAGAATTTCTCAATCCTCACACTTACAATTTAGCATAGGAGATACAATTATGTAAAAATGTATGCTTTTATAACTAAACAGTCAAATGAATCCAAGTTGTGTACACTGAGTGATCAAATAAGGAGCAGACTTAATATTCAGACATGGGACAGGATGTACTAATGTGATCTTGGCATTAATCAATGTACTGTGCCATCCAACGGAATCCTTCTCCATAGCCTTGTCTCTTTAGCACGCTGCACATGAACACTTCTAGTGGCCTTGCATTCAGTTCTTTCAATGGTATACTGCCCTGCAAAGAGACAGAAGTACTCCAAATGATATTATCTTCACAAAGAGACAGCTACTTTGCACTGACACTTGTTTCTATATAATGCCATTCTTTAACTTATGGTTGATGTTAGAACTTTTGAAGAAAGTGACTGAAACTTCTGCACACAATGCCAGGCTTACAGTCCCTGAGCATATTTTCATGTGCAGCCACATTCAGAGAGCATAAATTGCATGGCACCTGAGTGCAAAAGCAAGCATCTGTATAGAGAATTTGAGAGCTTAGACTCAAGTTTTCAGAAGCGGTTCCCTGCAATGTTTCTAACAGCTTTCCAAGCAGATAAAAAGAGCATTTGCTACAAATTGTAGGCCTGACCGCAGTCAGAGTGCAAGTTGCTTTCTTGCCAAGAGCAGCACAGTGTGACAAAGCTATTGCTCAACTGGAGGCTCACTACAGGATCCTTACTTCACAGACTGCATGCGGTGTTGTAAAATACAGAGCAAGATACAAAACAAAACGATAAAAAGAAATGAATAATAATTGTTTATATTCCATTACACCTATTCTAAAACTAACCCACGCAATTCTTGTTTCTATGTAATTTCTTTTAAATTCCTTGTACCCAAAACTCCATTACAAGTAGTACACTGTGTTTACTTCAAAGAGAGCTGAATTATCACAAAGATGGGTAACATAAATCTGCTGGTAGGAATGCTTTTCCACAACCTACAAACTCAGATTTCTGCAGAAGTATAACCCTGTTTCTAAATTTCAGTTAAATATGCTAAGTAATAAACTGTACTAAATCTGCACTTTAAATGAGAAAAATCACTTACTGGAGGACTTTATCAAGTTTTCTCTTTTAGTTCATACTAGAACTGTAGCCTTTGAAAAGACGTTCACCTTTTAAAAGTACTGCACAGAAGTAGTTCAAGTACTGAAATCTATACTTAGTACAACTACATTTTCCCTGGCAAAATGTGTTACTGGAAATGATGAATAGAAGCTGCAGTAGGGATGCTTCTAACACGCACAGCATTTATTTCACACAAGCCTATTAAGTACTGAGTATATAATAAACTAAAAACCATTTATTTTGTGTAGCTGAGTGAACCAGAATCAACACAAAACTGTAGGGTAAACATGAGATCTCTAACAAAAAAAAGGAGCTTTACCTTTCCTGTTGTCTGGCCATACAGACCAAACATCTCTCGTAACCTCTCTTCACTGATGGCTTCAGGTCTGTCAATCTTATTACCAAGGATTAGGATAGGCACATTAGCAATAGTTTCATCTGTCATTAGTGACTGCAAAGGAAAGGAGAAAGGGGAAAGAGACTATTTTAGGAGATAGTCTGATTTAAAGCTTTTTTTTTTTAGGATGTAGTTTGATTTAGGGCTTTATATTAAGATAAAATGATAATAGTGGAATTAAGACATTTGGTGAAACTTGGTCTTTCTAAGAAGTAAGGGCAGCAAAATTCACCGTTATTTGGTGCAATGAAAATAACTGATGGGAGCTGTTTAATCTGTTTGCAATAAATTAAATTACTCATTCACAACATAGAAAATATCATAAATGGAGTAACACTGATTCAACTGGCAGAATAGATGTTCACCTACCTACAGTGCACACAGTAATGAATAGGTAGAGGGTGAAAGAACCAAAATACAACTAGATGGGATTGAAGATGCTAAAGGTGAAATTGCTAGATTACCAGGAGGGCAGGAGAGCTCTGTTGAACATGGGGAATTTGAGCTTATTTCTTAGAAGTTAGAATCCAGACTTTCAAAAACATAATTAAACTTACATCAAGCTCTTCTTTTGATTCAAGCAGTCTGTCATGATCTGCACAGTCCACCAAGAACACAATGCCATTAATAGCAGGCAGATAGTTTTTCCACACTCTGCGAGCTACAGGGAAGAAGTGAAATAAAACCAATGGAAATTATCCCCAAACTTAGAGCAATGCACCCCAGTGAAGAAGCCACAAGTATTTCTGAAGTCTTAGTGTATATTGTCAGTCTTCAGGATGCAATTCCATGTTTTATAAAGCTTGAGATAATGGAGCAAATGCGTAATTCCCTCTGCTGTTATCACCACTCTATCTCACATGCACACGCTGATGTACTGAACCTTTATGTGTTTCCCCAAGAATTACATCAACAAATGTTAGTTTGAAGCACAGAGGTTAAAGGTATACACAAGAAATTCAATGTTCTAAAACAAAAACTATCTAATCCTTCTCAAAATACTTACCATCAGTCAAAAAATCCTGCTCTACTGCAGCTCCTGCCAAATTGTATTTGGGAGCACAGTATGTGGCAGAGACAGGAACAGAGCAGTGAATGTTTTTAACACTACCAAAGAGAGTGTGGGAAGCTGATCTCTGCAGTATGGTCGTATTTCTGATCTGAGACAAACTGACTGTAAACAACTCTAATTCAATGCAGTTAAATGAGTCAACATATTCTCTTACCTTGAGCATGTCCACCCAGATCAAAAGTAGTGAAAGTCATACCAGCAATTGTCAGCTCTTCTGAAGCTACAAATACACAGAATTATGTTCTCTGTGAAGATTACATATCATTATATACATACTACTACAGTATTCTATCACACATAATAGCCTGAGTACTCAGGACACAGATTTTACTTTCTCTTGTTATTTTCAGTATTCTGTTTCTCAAGAAATATAGCAGAGTGACACAATTTCTTTCAAAATCAGTAACATTTATGTAACAACAAAATGTAATTAAAACAAATGTCAAAAATCTACAGTGTTAAGAAAACAGCAGAGAATGTCTGTCCGCACATGATTTCTCCCTTTCCTATTTCAAAAACAATAAGTAGCTCTGGCATTTGGTTTGCCACATAGATGAAATTTCACATGCAATACTGTCAGAGGTCACTCCTTGTTATGTCCTTGCTTAATTGCTCACCTTCTCCTTGGACTTCACCAGTCCATATTTTTAACCTCTGCTGAACTTTTCCTCCTGCAAGGCTACCATGGTAACAATCAGAGAGCAACCTTTGAGTCAATGAGAATCAAAACAGTGTATGTAAATGCTAACCTTCCAAATATCCAGAAAAGCTGCCCTCAAATGTTTCAAGTCTCAATTTCTCACAGCTTCTGTAATTCAGAATTTCTCAATTCCATTACTCTTCGTCTCCCCCCAATTACTTGTGATGTATAATCAGGTTTCCTGCAATACTTTCTAGCAAGGAAACTAGGAACATTAACTTACTGGGGTGTAGTGTGGGGACATGCTGTCCCAGTCTGTCATCTTTGAGCATGTGCAGCAGTGTAGTTTTTCCAGCATTGTCCAGTCCAAGAAAAACTAGTTTGCCTGATTTCTTGTACAGTCCTGCAACAAAGAATAACCTACTGAATAATCAGTTCTATCAGTGAGTAGCATTGTCCAACAGGAACCCACAGCACATACATACAAAATACAAACATTTAGAGTGACAGCAATGGCATATTTCAGCACTCCTAAGCATAAGCTTCTCACAGATCCTGTGTGGTCTGCTAATCAGCAAGACCAAGACACCTTCCTACACGTATGTCCTACAGATTTCTGTTGGCATAGCTGTGACAGTCAATAGAGAGTGTGATTGTCAATAGAGAGTGTGATTGCTAATTGAAGCATCCATGTGCAGTCACTATTTCTAATGCTAGAGATGACTTTACTCCCAGGAGAAAAGTTGTACAGTCATGGCACAAAATACAGACCTGTCAAGCTCCACAGTGCACTTTATCAATGCCCTTTATCAGCAGGTGCTCTCCTACTTGTACAGATCACATTCATACTTGCTCCTGTGCTTATCACAGCTATGCTTGCTACACACAGCTTATGTGATGCTGAGTGGCATCTGGGGAGAGAGGCACATGACTGATATAAATGTGTCACACATAATTGCATTTACTTTATCTGTGCAAAGCTAAAAGAAAACTCAACTAAATTTTGCCAGAGTAGCTTGCTTTGCCCTCTCAAATGACAAATGACCAAATGAATCTTCCCTCCAGTCCAAGCCATTCTATGATACAGAATGGGCTCTAAAATATCAACAATCCTGTGTCAGGAAAAGAGTATGTTTTGTTCAACTCCCTCCCATTATGACAAAAAAAAAAAAAAAAGAAACAAACTAGATAATAATGTCACAGTATTGTGGCATACACTGAAAAAAGGTTTATTTGACAGCCATTGTGATGACACAGAAATACTCTGTGATGTATACTTTATCACTGAAATTATCCACACATCCTACTCCAAGAATCCTGCCTACTGACAAAGGCTGTGCCAAATGCCATAGGAACAAGAGCTCTGAAGCTGTTCAAAGGTCACATTATGAGCAGTGCCCTGCTCTGTACATGGACCCAGCAACAGTGTTTCTGAAGCCCTTATTCCTTTCCATAGGTGCAGATCACCCTAAGATCTCTGCTCCACTGCATCTCCCCATGGTCACACAGCATTGCCCGTTTTAGAACTGCTTTTGAACTGCTAGAGATCCACAGGTGCTGTCCAGTTTCTATTTACAATATTGATTATAAAGTACAAATGCCGCGCTTAGCCTAGTGAGAAAGATTTCTGATGAGAAAGGTCCTTCCCAGTTCAAACCTGATGAGGGCAAAAGTGGTGGTGACTTCTTATCAAATATGCTATCCTTGCACATACTTTATTTTTGTCAGATTTTAAATAGCACTGTTACACAGGGGGTTCCTCAGCCACCCCTGTGGATGCTGCTGCAATCCACAATCACATGTACCTCTATCTTCCTGACCTTTACACTGCTGCTGTTTGCTCACCTTTCCCCCCCCTTTAAGCTAATCTCTGGAATTGCATTCCACCAGGGCACGCTTTATTACCTGCAGGGAAGAATATCTTTCATATACCGCAGCTTATTTCATTAATAACTTTTTTTACTACAAGAACTGCAGAGTGTTTTCATAGCTCTTTTTCAAATACAACTCTTATTTCCCAGCTCACCTTCTCATATACTCAAATATCATTAACTATTAAACTACAGGACAGAGGTGAAAGTACTGATGTTGATAGGGAGAGAACTGAACAAGCACTTCCATATATAAACTTACGTCACAGAAGAAACTCCAGTTTACACTTACCTTACAAGTTCAGTGAAACACCACTAAGCTATAGTAAAATAACTGCATTTTTTGCCACTCTCACACGGGACATGAGAATGAAAAGGTTTTTTTTTTAGAATCAGAGGGACATGTAAAGGGCAATTCTCTTTTCTACTGCAGGCTTCAGCATCTCTCACTAGAATTAGACTTCTTAAGTCCAGGTATAGGAAAGTGAGTTAGCGTGCAGTAATCACTGCTTGGCTAAGTAAGAGTAGATAAGAAAGATTAGTCAACTCAGTTAAAGTTTTACTGACTAATATTTCAATGGCAGGCCAAGGGTCTAATGTGAAGCGAAAAAGTTTAAACTTTCAACTGATAAAATGCAGGTGGCACAGACTGCGTGACCCATTAATCACAAATTCTTTTTATTTACTTTAATAGAATCCCTGGAACTTGTAAACTGCCCTTTTTATCTATGTTAATCTGCAACTTCTGTTCCTCTTCTAAGTACTGTAACACTCCCTTTCCTCTTGTGCTCTTTATTCCTCCCGTTTTACAAAAGCTAATATTTCACCCTGTATGCTCATCTTCAAAAGAATTCAACCAAAATAATTGAGTCTGGTTCTTTAAAGCAGAAAAAAAAAATCAGGAGAAGCTTTATTAACTGGACTACACCAGCTTAAATGTAGTATTAAAAAAAAAAATCAAGCCCATTATGTTCCTGAAAGAAAAAGTAATTTTCAAGAGGTTACAGGATTAATGTAAGATTGAGTGGAGAACACATTATGGAAATACTCAGATAAGTGAAACTCTTTTTTTTTGAGTGATACTGAATATACACTAGAACAAATGTTACTATTTAACAAGTCCCTCAGTTTGCAGATAGGTTAATAGACATGCAATACAAAAACAGCAGGAAAAACTTACCTAAGAACTGTAATACACTACTGAAGCCACTGTAAATCCAGTCAAATATGAAGGACATATCTGAATCTTTTAGTCTGAAATGAACAGAAAATAGAATGCTGTGTTAGAACAACACATCAAACATTGTGAGGTGCTTACTGAAGTTGACTCCTGAGAGGTTCTACGAGTAAGACACTGCTGTCTGCACACCTCCTGTCTGTTTGCCTTGCAAGGGGCCCACGGCACTGGAAGCACCACTTATGGCTGGAAGCACCCCAATACTGTCTCGTATGGACTTCTACCACCTACAGCTTAAACATTTAAATTTATCTCAAAGCAGAACTCTGGAACACCACATTCCTCCCCCATTTTTGGACGAGGCTCAGGAACAGAGGGTTGAGGTGAGGATGCTCAGGGTGGCACCAGCTGTGGGCAGATGCCCTTTGACAACAGGATGTACTCTGGAACTTCATAAGACCCCTTTCTTTTAGGACGGTAAAAACAACACTGTTCCAGCCCCTGGGGGGCAGCAAGTGGCCAGCTGGGCCTGCAGCACACAGCCAGCCACAGCAGCAGCCCCTGAAGGGACATCTCACACCTTGAAAGTTTGGAGAACACACACAACACAGAGGGAGAAGCGCCGGGACCTCAGAGTCACTCAGGTTGGAGAAGACCCTTAGGATCACCAAATGCAGCCATCACCACCACTACCAACTGCACCTTTTCTGAAGCTGCGCCTTCAGGTATGAGAAGGCTGTCACTAGGTGCAGCGAATGAGCAATTAATTTCTTAACTTCCATCTTAACTTCCTCATTATCTAAAGTGAGGGTAGTCACACCGAGAGCACCGGTTTGACAGAGCAAATTAATACCTAGCTGAAAAAGCTTTTGCAAGACCAAAGGGCAGCTAGCTAACCCTGCTGCAGTACTTAATTCCTCCTAACAGGTGGGGAAGTTGGAGCTCAGGTCTCTGAGCTGAGGGCAGCATACCTTGTGTGTCAGCACAGTATTTGTGGGCTGGGGCTTGCAGGATGGCTTTAGGACAGCCCTGAACCTGGAGCATAGCACAAAGCAGTCAAACTACAGGTCAGCACCAGACCCAAATCCATCTACCTGTCCTAACGACCACACTCATGACAACACAGGGAGGTTTTCCTCCACACAGCACCGGGTATGTCACAGCAATACCGAAAGAGGATGAAATATTATTATTATTTTTGTTTGCTCACACAGGAATAAAATCTGTTCAGCCGATACTTGCCCTCCCTGATTGAAGATGACGAAGCGTTAGGCTTCCCCATGACTAACCCTGAAACCCTTCCCTACCTCCCACAGCTAACCAACTGGGACAGTCGCAAATTTTAAGATACAAATAAGCTTGTCAATGCATAAACACCCAGTTACACAACGTCATGGCTGAAACTGTCACTTACATGTCTAAAAAGCAAAGGTCAAGAATAAGCAAATATGGCCGGACGGACACGTCAGCAGATTTATTTATTGCTTGAACAAAACACCGATCGAGAAAAGCCTCTGTGAGGCTTAGGAAAACGATCTGCTCAAATAACTTGCAAATCAGTGCAAACAGCGTGATGCAAGAGCAGTGCTCAGATTACCGAGGTGAGAATAACCTCACAGAGTTTAGTTGTATTAACCACTTCCTTCTGTGAAGCTTATGGATGAAAGAAGGAAATCTTCACTCACTGCTGAAAACCTCTAACAAGGCAAAGTTCCAAATACAGCAGAACCTGCTTTGGTATCAGCCGGCAGCTCTTAAAGGGAAATACTACTTTGAAAATGGGAAAAAAATTGACAGCAAATTGTAAAAGCATACTTGAGCTATTTGAACAGAGATATTAAATCTACTCTTATCGCACAGAAAAAGCACCAACACAGTTCAGGGCAGTGTCACACTGAGCCACAACCCGCAGCACACTGCACGGCTGGGCCACGCAGCCAGCGTGCATCGACTCCGACCTTCCAGCCCTTCCAATGCACCATTAAAGCAAAGCAATGAAAACTATTTTAGGGCTATTTCAAGGGCTCTCTTGAAAGTAATGAGTTGTCAGGACCCAGACTTCAGGGGAAATTGTAACGGACACCTGACAACCTGTTGGTACCAACTGTTCACAGCCATCGCCAACTTACCCACCTGTGGATTCTCAGGAATATGAGAAGAGTTTTCGAGTGTCAACAACAGATGGTTGCCACCTCCAAACACCTTTAACAACCCTGCCTAACATTATTTCACAAGCAAAGTGTCACTTGTGTCTCCTAGGGAGCCTCTCCAGCCCATCTTCTGCAAAATGCTGCTGACAGAAGGGATAAGCTAGCAAACTTGCTCACAGTTGTTCCATGTTTTCTTTTTCTCCTATAAGAAGCAGGAATTTTTGCCCCTGCCTTGGATCTGCATTTTCCTGGCTAAAAGTTAATTACTACATTCCAGAAACAGAATAATGCTTACTTCTCAAATGTGCAAGCCTTCAGGTAAGAGAAATGATCACCTGAATTGTCATTTCAAATAAGATCACCTTAACAATCTAAATAATTTCTGCACAACAACAAAAATCAAAATCCGTAACAAGTTCAGTAAAATGACAATTTGTTGTCTCAATCAAATGTATTCTAGGACACTATGCTTGAGGAAACAACATGGTCTGAAAATGAGCTAACAGCAGATTTTCTTTGGATTTTTTAATCAGTTTTTTGATAGCGAGTCATCTCTGAGATTTCAGAAAGAGCAATCACACAGTGCTGCTACTAGATGGGCTGAATAACAAAGATTATGTATTGCATGACATATACTTAGCTCTATTGCATCCTTTATTCCGAGACAATATATTTGAAGTTAGCATTGATCCAAAGCAGATCTGAAACTGCAAAGTACACAGTTTATCTGTCAAGACAGCACTGCAACAGGCACATGAGGCCCTAAAAGCAGCTGAGTAAGTGCTTCAGTCGCAGTCCAGCTCACAGAAGCTGCTCTCAGATCACAGAATCACAGAATCGCCAGGGTTGGAAGGGACCTCAAGGATCATGAATCTCCAACCCCCTGCCACACGCAGGGCCACCAACCTTCCCACCTAATGCTAGACCAGGCTGCCCAGGGCCCCATCCAACCTGGCCTTGAACACCTCCAGGGACGGGGCATCCACAGCCTCTCTGGGCAGCTGTTCCAGCACCTCACCACTCTCTCTGTAAAGAATTTCCCCCTGACGTCCAACCTAAATCTCCCCTCCCTCCACTTAAAACCATTTCCCCTTGTCCTGCTGTTATCAACCCTTTCAAAGAGTTGATTCCCCTCCTGTGTGTAGGCTCCCTTTAGGTACTGAAAGGCTGCAATGAGGTCATCCCACAGCCTTCTTTTCTCCAGGCTGAACAAGCCCAGCTCCCTCAGCCTGTCCTCATAGGGGAGGTGCTCCAGTCAGATCACAGTCTCAAAGTAGGGTCCACTGCAGCAGTTTCCATACTTATTTAAAAAACAAATCATCAAAAAAACCCCAACATATTGGAGCATGAATATAAAATTATTTTTGATCTTCTAGGTGATCTATCATGATCTGTTTTGGAAGAAATGATGCTCAGAACAAACCTTGGCAGATCATTAACGCGCCAAACGACCAGATGAGAAAGTTGTAAGGCACTTGCAGGTTAGTACATCGTATTACAATACACTTCTTGAAATCACAAACACCAAAGTGAAATCTGAGACGGGACTACAAAGAAACTGCCAAATAATCATCAAAGATTCATGCAGCAGACGGCAGGCATGGGGCTGGTTATCTCAGAGCCAGAGATCAGAGCCAGACACCCAGAGGGGGGTGAGCGCCCAGAGGGGCTCTGCACAGAGCGAGCAAAAATAAGAAGAAATTAAACGGGAAGGAAATTCAACCACACTGCTTGCAGGTGGGCAGGTGAGGGGAGGGAACATAAGGGGTGACCGGGATTCTGCTTCATAGCGTTCAGAAGCAATGGGCTGTTTTGGCTGGTGTGGAAACCAATTCTATCTACTAGCAAGAGGGCTGTGGGTTGTGTTCGTGACAACGGCACAGAAATCCAGAGGAGAATTCAGCAATAAATGTACGCAAAGCAGCCTGACACAGCCGTGAGAGCCCGAAGAAGACACAGCAGGCACACGGCAGCCTTGTCAGCTCAGCATCTCCGACCCAGAGAACAATGGATCACAGAATCACAGAATGGATCTTTCTGTTGCTAAGAGCGCGGGGAGAAAACTAACAGGAGGTTGGGAAGCATCGGGCAGAAACGCGAAACCCGTCGATTTTCCCACGACAAGGGCTGTTTTTTAGCGGTATTTGCGACGAAGGAGACACCGAGCCGACGGAGGGGCGCCCAGGGCGGATCGAACCCCTCCGAGCGCCGCTTCCCCCCGTGCCACCACCACGGCCCGGCCCGGCCGCACTGAAGCGCCGTTCCCGCAGCCGCTCTCGCTGCCCGACGCCCCGCGCCCGGCCGCCCCGCAGCGCAACCCGCGCAGGCCGCTCTAGGCCGGAGCCCGCAGCGGCCGAGCGGCGGGGACGAGGGCGGGCCGCGGCCTCAGCACCGCCCGCAGCGCGCCGCCGAGGAGCCCCGGAGGCCGCGGCCGGCAGCGAGGCCTCGCCCCGTCGGCTCCCCGTCCCCTCGCTCACCACCGCCGAGCCTCAGCCCCGGCCGCTCCGCCGGCACCGACACCGATCCGACCCCGCCGCCGATCCCCGCTCCGCCCCCCGCGCGGCGCCTTCCGGGCCCGGCCCGGCCGTGTGGCACAGCGCGGAGCTCCGCCCGGCGCCTCCCCCCGCTGCCATCGGCCGGGCGCGGATCCCGTGGAGGCGGCGGAGGGCGGGCGCTGTCCCCTCGCATTCTTTTCTCCGCGGTCGGGCAGAACGCGGCGGGCAGCCCCGAGCTCGCGCGGCGGCGTCACCCGCACGGCGCCCCGAACGTCTGCCCCGCACGGCCCGCAGCCTCCCGTATCCCGATCGGCTCAAGCGGTGCCGTGTCACCGCACCCCGGCGCTGAGGGTTCCGTCCGTTGGCTGACTCGGGGCTCCCACCCCGCGGTGCCGCGCGGCGACTCGCCGGCTCTCACCGAGCACCGCGTGCAGCAGCGCCGCCCCGCCAACAGCGGCCTCACGGTGGGGACGAGAGGAACGCGGGGACGTTTAGGCAATTTCTCTAGCAAGGCTTTCACACGCAGGCTCCCTGCCCTGACAGGTGACGGGCTGTCCGGACACGTCGCACGGCCCGTGGGGCGGGGCGTTCCCGCACGGCGGCACCACCGGGCCGGACCCCGCCCACGGCCCGGCCTGCCCCGCCCCTCCGCTGTCCCTTTAAGAGGCTCCGTCCCGCCCACTTGCCGCAGCGCTGCCGCTTCCGGAAGTGCCACGTGTACGTAGTGCGCATGCGCGCGCGGCCCGGTACTTCCGGTGTGCGGAAGCCCCGCCTCTTCTCTCAGCGCTGGGCCGGGCGCCGCCACTCGGGCGGTTCCGCTGAGCCTCTGTCCAACCCCGCCCGGCCCGGCCCGGCTCAGCGCCGCCATGGCTCAGCCGGCCCGGCCCGCCGCCGCTTATCGTAGCCAGAACGGCGCAGGCCAGCAGCCCTACAGCAACGGTGAGGCGGGACGCGGGGCTCGGGAGAGAAGCTGAGGCGGGGGGAGGCGGGTGCGGCTTCCGCCTCGAGGCCTTCGGGCGCCCGGCGCCTCCCTTGGTGCTGCCACGTCCCCGGGGCGTCGGGCGGCCGCGCTGAGGGGAGGTCCGGGCCGCGGTGTGCGGCGGGACTGGCGGCGGGGGAGCCGCGTCACGCAGCAGTGCGGAACGGCATCGGGTCGGGGAGCGCGGAGCGGTGTGCGCCGCGCGGAGCGTCTATGAGGGTCGTTATTGGGGCGAAGCGACCCTCCTCCCGCTGCTTTTAGTGGTGTAAACATCCTTGTGGACTGACAGGGAAATCTGTGTGTTAGCTAGGTGAAACGTGCTGTGCCGCCTGTCTGCGGCTCCTCGCGGGAAGTGGAGGGGCAGCGCTGAGCTCTGCTGTCTGGGAACGGCGACAGGGCCCCGGGGAACGGCGTGGAGCTGCGACAGGGGAGGGGCAGCTGGGGGTTAGGGGTGAGTCCCGCACCAGAGGGACGTGGGCATGGAACGGGCTGCCCGGGGCTCTGGGCACGGCCCTGAGCTGCTGGAGTTTGAGAAGCATTTGGATGACACAGCCATAGGGCTTGATTTTTTTTTTTGGTGGTTCTGTGTGGGACCTAGCGATCCATGTGGGTCTCTTCTAGCTCAAAATGTTCTGTTCTAAATGGTTTGTGTTAGTCATTACTTCGGGCCGTGTCCCCACTTGTGATAACACTGCGACGGCCAAGTGAGCCTGGCCCTTTGGAACCGAGCTGTACATGTGGCACTGCTTATTGCCCGGAGCAGGACCCTGCTGAGCTCAGGTGGCTGCTTGCTCGCATGTTTTATCTTGTCTGTCATGTAAAGCCAGTATTATCTTGTTCTGTACACTCTGATCTGGGAAAGCCTTGACTGCTTTCTTCTCTTCAAAATATATTTTGAAGCCGGATGCTGAAGGTGATACCAAACAGCTAGCTGACCTTCTGAGCTAGCAAGAAGGAAGCACAAAGGCAGCCTTGTCTCTGTTTGCTTTGCATGTGTGGAAATCTGTGCTGTTGGAAAGTGTTTTCTGATTTCATATGTACTTACAGCATCCCTGAACTTCATTCCTTAATTGGGTAGTTATGTGTTTTAGTGGTTATGCTGCATCAAGACAATTAAGTTATAATGAGATCTTTTGATTTTCCTGCTTTATGGCTGGGTAATTAAATAGTTTGACTTGTCACCCCCTTCTTCTTTCCCAGTGCTTTTAACTTCTGAAAAGGCATCTTAAAAACAACTGTATAGCTGCTCATAGGGTCAGCAGTGTGGGACGTGGATACATAAGTCTGAAAAGAGTCTCTGTTCTGGAGAGTTTATGGTCTAAGCAGAGAATGTACAGAAAGAATGTTAGCTAATGGAGTAAACAAGTGGGATGATTTACGTGTTGGCATCATTTTATATTTGATATGTAGTCAGGCTAAGCACATGGTAGGAGTTCTTGCAAGGTGGTAGTAGTAGTAGGAAGACACATTTCAGGCTAAAGCTGTATGAAAACCAAAGAGATGAAATCTAAAGTTGTGCAAACACAGGGTAATAAAATTAATCAGCAGTTACAGTATACAGATACATATATAATATGTTGAGAAGGTGCTGTGATCCAAGGCTACCTCAGGAAAAAATAACATTCCATAAAAGCAATCTAGGGCACGCTGAGAGTGCTGTTATGCTATTTACAATGGTCTGTGAGGAGAGAGAGCTCCCGGCAGAATGATGAACTGTAATGTGGGTGTCAGCTCTTCCTCTCAACCTGTTGCTCACCTTCCTGTTTGCAGGTAACTCCCTGAGCTTGCGTGCTGGGCCTGACAGTGAATGGCTGTAGCAGCAGCACCCTATGCTGACCTGGAAATGGTTTAGCAGCGAGCATCGTGTTGCTTAGCAACAGCCTTCCTCCACTCGTGTTGTTTTTCTTGTAGGATTGGTATTCTCTCTTCATTTAACTGAAAAGCAAATCAATAGTCTGTAGCTAATGGGTCTGAAATGTAAGCAAGGTGGAGAAATTCTTTTAGGATCTGTCTCTTATCTTAGTTTGATATCCTGGCATGATGCTTTGAGGCCACACAGAGCTTCAGAAGCTTTTGGTTTTGGCCTGCTCTTGGTGTGCTTGGAAGCAGTGGGTAAGGCCATGTGGAATGGGGTGGGGGTCATTGCCATGTGATTGAGTGTATTCGGCCTTGCTCTCCCTAGGCCTGGAGAAGCACCTGGGACTGGTGAGAGCAATGTGCTCATTGGTGGGCCTGGAGAGAAGTGACACTGAGGTTCTGTATAGCAGAGAATGTGGCTCCCATAGCCTTCCATGCTCATTCTTTGCTTTTATTTTTAAGCAGCTATCCCATGTTTCAGTGCTGTTCCTGATCGCTTTGAAATTTCTTATGATCTTGTGTGCATAGAGTTGTCTTCCACTGTTAGGTAGGGGGCCTCTCTTGTGTTTCTTGTGTTACTAACTCTTGTATCCTGAGTGCTGTGGCTTTTGTGACTTAGATCTTCAGTCCACACTGATTTCCTTGTTGCTCCATGGCTTCGTGGAGCAGTGCAGGAAAGAAGCAGCAGCCTATGGGGGAATTCCACTGGTGTAGGTTATTGTGGCTTTTCTTTGCACTTCTTACTTCAGAAAGTGAAAACAGAAGTTGAAATTTAGAATGCTACTTCCAAAATCTAATTGATCACTAAGTGCTACAGAAAGATCAGGTCGTTTGATTTTGGGTTTTGCCTCGCTGTCATTGCTTTATCCTCAGTCTTATCCCTCAAACAGGAAAAACAGAGCTAAATACTCTGATTCTTGACCACGCTACAGAGTCATGCCCTAAGGTGAATAATCAAGCTATAAAATTAATTAGTATTTGTTCTATATCTCTTATACAACACACTGCAATATTATATCAATATACATGTGATATAGTCAGGGGCCTGGCATTACATAAGAAACCTTAGTCATTTGTACAGCTAGCAAGTTAAATTTACAATTCATATTGTAAATCAGTTTTTGAAAACCCATCTGATATGCTGCAGGGTGATTTTCAAAGGTGAGTCATAACTGTGGGAATTCTTATGTTTGCAAGCTTTTATGTTTGGACACCATTTATTTTAAAGCATTAGTAATTAATAAGATTTATGAGCAGCATTGCAAGGACAGTGAGCTATAACTGGATTTCCTAACTGAATGGCAGATAGTGTATTGAGATTAATGGCTAGAGAATAATATGTATGTGCTGTTTATGCACAAATAACAGGCAGAGTGAGGATGAGGTCACCAGTGCTGTAGTAGAACCCTGGCTATGCAGTTAGCATGGAGATGCGGTGTTCAGGGAGGTGACAGCTGTCTCTGAACTGTCTGTACCCTGGGGCTTTCTAGGGAATGATGAGTTGCATGGCAGTTGCAGTGTTTGTCCTAACTCAGATATTTCCATGTGTTCTGTGTTTGGCTTATTTTACTGTCATGTGTGTCTGAGTTCAAAGTAATTTCAACTTGGAAATGTGAACTTCCTCCATTCTTAAAATGTAACTGGAAAGTTCCAGTAAGCGAAGACAGCTAAGAAACCAGCTGTTATTTTGACATTAAATGAAACTCTGATTTCATACTGGTGGCAGCTGTTTCCAGTACCTGTATGCAAAATATGTCTACATGCTCATCTTTATAGCATGCTTTTGAAAATGTTTGTGTTGAATCTTGCACTGGTTTCTGGTCTGAATGTTAAGTACTTCTATTTTTCTAGGCTCTTTTTTTTCCCCCAAAATAACTCTGGGAATCTGGCAAGTAGTACAGGGTAGCAAAGAAGAATTGTACACCAGAATTACAGAGAGGATCTCTTGATTTCATGCATATAACTGTGTACATGGGTTGTCTCTAACATTCAGACTGTGCTCAGGGGTGGAGTGCAGCAGGGTGACTGGCTAACATAAATGATACAGCCTTGGAAAATGGTTTGGTGTTTGTGTACGTTGTCTAGCTGTGGCATGGGTTATCTAGCGTGTTCTGCTGAAAGGATTTTGCTTGGAAATGCTGCCTTCTGAATGTTCTTTTTGTGGCAGCAGTATGAATAACCTGCAGTAGCATCCTTCTTGATGGTGCTCTTACTGCACTTGAAAGCTCACTGTACTGAGTTCCTGTGTTAGACAAATCTGATGATGCTCTGCTGGTGCTATTTGCTTTTTTGAGTTGATCACTTCAAGAAAAAATGGAAATGATTACAGCTTAGTTCAGCTGTAGCACCCAGTAGATAAGAAGCACCCATCAAGTTATATTTTCTTGATGGGTGAATTATTTTATGAAATTATCGTTCACTCCATGTTCATGACCAGTTGGTTATGTGAGCTGTATATGCACGAGAAACTCTCTTACTAAAATTAGCTGCAGAACCTTTTGTGGATTAACTCTGTCACTTGAGAAATAGCATGGGGACTCGAGATGAACCTGTTTGATCTTTGCTATAAGATGAGGTTTAAGTCAGTGCCAGTCCTTAAACTGGATGTAAGGACAGGTTCTGCTGCCACCACTCCCTCGTGCCCCTGCCAGCTGTGTGCAACCATGTGCCTCTGTGGCTGATGGGCTTCTGAGTGCTTCTGAAGGTGGAAATATCTGTGCGAATTGCGAAGAGCGTGGATTTTGTTCAGCCACTTGCTT